TGACCCTGACCATAACCCTAACCCTGATCCTAACCCTGACCCTGACCATAACCATAACCCTAACCCTGACCCTAATTTATCCCTAATCCTAACCCTATCCCTGACCATATTCCTGACCATAACCCTAATCCTAACCCTGACAATAACCCTAATCCTAACCTGACCCTGACCATAACCCTAACCCTGACCCTAACCCTGACCCTGACACGAACCCTAATCCTAACGCTGGCCCTAAACCTAATCCTAACCCTGATCCTAATCCTGACCCTTATCCTAAACCTGACCCTGACCCTAACCCTGACTATAACCCTAATCCTAACCCTTACCCTGACCCTAAACCTGACCCTAATCCTAACCCTAACCCTGACGAATAAAACAACCACAAACTGGTGTTTTACTACAAGAAAACACACATTCAGTGTCAATTTTATCAATTTTATCCTGTTTCAGAGCGGGGCGCCCGGCCTGTCACCAACTTTTTAAGGAACCTGTCGGCCTTATCCAACTGGCACTCCGTCTACACCTCAGCTATTGCCTTCATTGTGAGTGTTCACTTCCAGTTTACAGCCTTATTGTCTGATGTTTCCATAAAAATGTGAGATTCTACAAAACCAGACACATTAACGACACCAACCGGCCTCAATTAAAGATGAATATTTCCCCAGAAAAGGTTTATTTAATATTTAATATGTGAATGAACACAGAAAATGTGAGACATTTCAGGAAAATATGAGTTCATTTTTCATTTGATGGCAGCAAAATGTCACAAAAAACTGAATCAAAACACCTAACAGAGTCAGAGTCTCTTAGGAGTAAAGAAGAAAAAACAACCAAAAGGCTGAATTAAGCTATAAAATTGGATGAATGGGTAAATAAAGAGCACCCAACAGAGGCAGAGTCTTTCTGGAGTAAAGAGGAAAAACACTGGATCTAAGTAATGGAAAATCCACAAAATAGAACAGTCTAATCTATCTGTAAATGTATGAATGAGCTAAAATTATGTATAATTATAATGATTATTATTATTATTATTATTATTATTATTATTATTATTATATTAAATCAAACTGGATTATTTAAGTCGGGTTCATTCATGACCTGTGGGATATTTTTTTTCTTACAAATACCAAAATGTAGCTTTAAAAACTGAGATTTTTACCATGTTTATGTAAAAGTGGGAGCAAAAAAAGGGAAACAAACTCCTTTACAGTTCAGGCAAACTGATTAGAAAAAGCTGAAATAGTTGTGTTTTCACTACTAATGAACTGCTTTAGAGGAGGAGTGACCAGATGTTGAGCATCTGTTTGGATCCAGATGTTGAGCATCTGTTTTTCCTCCCTGTAACTCCAAAGCGACAACACTGGCACGGCTTCCTTTTGACGGGCTCTTTATTAAACGCCATGAAAACTACAGAAATAAAAGACAAAACTTTAGACATAAATACATTTACAGACAGACAGATGACATGTGCTCTGACAAAGGTTACCTCGAGGTCTTTAACCGATTAATTCGTCGATGTTCACTCTAAACCAAAATATTAAGTCATTAAAACACCGTAAAAACACCATAACCAATAAATTCACAAAACATTACAAACATAACTACAAAATACCTTGACTCCTACCGGAGACACGAGGCTGCTGCGTGTAGCTCAGCTCCCGGCTTCTGCTTCTTCTATGTTTATTTTTATGTTTATGTTTATTCAATTCTCGCAGCCTCACGCATGAACACAAATCTCTCGATAACTTCCAACAAAGTAGTTTGAGTCGAAATGAAATACAATCATTTAACACAAATCTTAACCTCCTGAGACCCGAGCTTTTATTTGGCATGCATTTTAGCTTTTTTTTTAAAGATATACGAGATACATATTTAATTAAATGTTTTTACAATTTTGTTCTGACAGTCCCATTGACTCATTTACAGTTTTTCTATTACACAATAAGAACATGATTGGATGGAAATGTATAAAACCATTTTACTTTAGATTTCAAACAGTGTTTGATAGCATCTGCTATGAGGTCAAGAGGTCAAAGCTGAAAGAAAAAAAGAAGTATCATGGTAAAGAGAGACAAAAATGCAACGTCCTCTTATGAGGACACAGGGTCTCAGGAGGTTAATACTGAAGGCCAAATGAGCTAATGAGCAGCAGGTGAGGAGAAGGGCGGAGAGAAGCAGGTGAGGGGGAACGAGTAATTACATGACAGGGAAGAAGGGCCGGATCTGAAATGACAGGAGAATTAATGATCAAAACCAAAACAAACTTGCTGCTGAAGTAACTACGTTACAGATAGAGATAAGAGCTTTATTGATCTCACAGTGGAGAAATTCACTGGTCACATATCGGTTAGGGTACAAAAGGAGGAAAAGGTGCATAAAGTACATCAAAAGAAAGCAAATATACAAAGAAAGAAACACAGCGTAGAGATTTGGGTGATTAAAATATATGCAATCATCGAGGCCGGTGGAGTCCTGAACTAAAAGCACTAACTGAACTAACTGCTGTGTGGTTCGCCTAACAGAAAACCCGGAGGAGGCTGAGGCGGAGGAGGAGGATGAAGGTAGGAGGCGCTGGTGGGAGGGAAAAACTGCTGTAAGCGGGCCGGACTAGAACTGTGTTTCTGTTTCAGACGGGGACCGGGAGCCGGACTACCGAGACGTGGTGATCAGGACCGACTCCAAGGTGAAGGAGCTGTACGACGTGGAGGAGAGGCTGGGAACGTAAGATCCTAACCCTAACCCGT